CAAATAAGGTAATGCATATTAAATATTGTGTAGACATGAAAGTAAAAAAAAATGAAGTGAATTGCTTTCCCATTCTGTTTTTGTGGTTGATTTTTTTGAAGTTGAAACAAAGGACTTTAAAATTTTATTCCTATTTAATTTCATCTTATAGATTTGGATCAGAGTTTCAGTCTTTCAAATTCTTAATGTACTCTGATTCTATCATCCAGCTATGTTAGCTATTTTTCTGTCATCTGAAAACTTTAAAAATGTGTCATCTAAGGGGCAGAGCCAAGATGACAGTAAAGGCAGGGACTCACTTGAGCTCTCCCCCAAGCCCTTCCAAATACCTGAAAAAAATGATTCTAAACAAATTATAGAGCAGTAGGACCCACAAAAAGACAGAGTGAAACAAATTTTCAGCCCAAGACAACCTGGAAGGTTGACAGTTGCACCAGGCTGAGAGAAGAAGCACAGTACAGCGCAGGCAGTGACAGTGCAGACCAGACCCAAATAAACCCAGAGTATGCCTTAGGGAACTGAATCACTGGCAGCAGTGGCAATTTCCAGACTCCTCAACCCACAAACACCAAAGACAACTTGGAAGGTCAATAGGAATGGTCTGTCAGACCTGGATGAGAGAGGAGCGCAGTCCAGCCTTGGACCCAGCACAGGCCCAGGGCAGTGGCAGCAGTTGCTTCCTGAGCTCTCAGCCTACAGATGGTAAGGGGATTTAACAACTGATCAAAAGGAGATTACAGGGGTCTCTTTGCTACTAGCACTGAGATAGGACTCTGTTGCTTTGCTCATACTTGGATCTGGGTCGCAGTCCTGGTGTGAGGAGGAGAACTGGCATAGCAGAACTTGTGGCAGCAGTGGAGAGGAAAACTTCCTCACAGTTCCAGGGCAGAAAAGAGTGTTTGTGGTCACTCACAGACCACAGCACAGGCCAGAAGAGAAGTAAACACCTCTCCTTAGATCATACCACCTTGAAAGAACTGAAAACTTACAGGTCCCTAGAAGTATCTCTGAAAACAGCTGCACAAAACCCCTGAAGCTTGGGAAAGTATTCCCTCCACTCTAGAAGCAGAGCCCTACCTTAATAAAGAGTTTAAAAGTCAAGTAATTAGCCTGGGAAATGAGCAAACAAATGGGGGGAAAAAAACCTGAAGACTATAGAAACTTACTTTGGTGACAAGGAAGATCAAAACATACAACCAGAAGAAGACAACAAAGTCAAAGCTCCTACTCCAAAGCTTCCAAGAAAAATATGAATCAGACCCAGGCCATGGAAGAACTCAAAAAGGATTTTGAAAATCAAGTAAGAGAAATAGAGAAAAACTGGGAAGAGAAATAAGAGTGATGCAAGAAAATCATGAAAAATGAGTCAACGGCTTGCTAAAGGAGACCCCAAAAAAATAATGAAGAAAATAACCACCTTAAAAAACAGACTAGACCAAATGGCAAAAGAGGTCCAAAAAGCCAATGAGAAGAATGCCTTAAAAAGCAGAATTGGCCAAATGGAAAAGAGGTCCAAAAGCTCACTGAAGAAAATAATTTCTTAAGAATAAGAATGGAACAAATGGAAGCTAATGACTCTGAGAAATCAAGAAACTATAAAAGAAAACCAAAATGAAAAATTAGAAGACAATGTGAAAGATCTCACTGGAAAAACAACTGACTTAGAAAATAGATCCAGGAGAGATAATTCTAAAATTATTGGACCTAAAAACCATGATCAAAAAAAGAGCCTAGACACCATCTTTCAAGAAATTATCAAGGAAAACTGTCCTGATATTTTAGAACCAGAGGGTAAAAGAGAAATGGAAAGAATTCACCAATCACCTCTTGAAAGAGGTCCCCAAAGTAAAGCTCATAGGAATGTTGTAGCCAAATTCCAGAGTTCCCAATACAAGGAGAAGATATTGCAAGCAGCCAGAAAGAAACAATTCAAGTATTTTGAGATATCCATTTTATTTTATTTTTTTGGTGAGGCAGTCGGGGTTAAGTGACTTGCCCAAGCTCACATAGCTAGAATGTGTCAACTGTTTGGTCTGAGGCCAAATTTGAACTCAGGTCCCCCTGACTTCAGGGCTGGTGCTCTATCCACTGTGCCACAGAATAACACAAGATTTAGCCCCTTCTACATTAAGGGACTGAAGGCTTGGAATATGATATTCCAGAGGTCAAAGGAGCTAGGATTAAAACCAAGAATCACCTACCCAGCAAAACTGAGTATAATCCTTCAGGAGGAAAAACTGATATTCAGTGAAATAGAGGACTTTCAAACACACTTGATGAAAAGACCAAGGGTGACTAGAAAATTTGACTTTCAGACATAAGACTCAGGAGAAGCATGAAAAAGTTAAAAAAAAAAATTATAAGGGACTTATTAAAGTCAAACTGTTTACATTCCTGCATGGAAAGACGATATTTGTAACCCATGAAACCTTTCTCAGTATTAGGGTAGTTGGAGGGAATATATACATATATATATGTGTGTGTGTATATATATACACACACATATAGACAAGGTACAGGTTGAGTTGAATATGAAGGGAATAAAATTAAGGGGTGAGAAGAATGTACTGAAGAGAAGGAGAAAGGGAAAGGCAGAATGGGGTAAATTCTCTCACATAAAAGAGGTAAGAAAAAAGCTTTTACAATGGAGTGAAAGAGGGAAGAGGTGAGAGGGAATGAGTGAACCATACTCTCATAGGATTTAGGATTTGGCTTAAGGAGGAAATAACATACACACTCAGTTGGGTATGGAAATCTATTTACCCTACAGGAAAGTAGGGGGGAAGGGGATAAGAGAGGTGTTAGAAGGGAGGGCAGACTTGGGGAGGAGTAATCAGAAGCAAAAATGTGCCATCTATACTTTCATCTAAGGTATTGATAGTTGAATAAAATATAACAGGACCCAAAAGTAATGTGCCTAGTTACATGTGGTGCTGACTTATTCACTGGAGAAAAACATCACAGACCTGATTCTTGTCTTTTGAATTTACAGTATGGAGCTCCAAGATCTAGGCAAAATGTTTGGTGAATTTGGTCATCATTTTATGAAAGGTTTTATTACTAATTTACAAAATGCCTATTAAAATCTAACTTAAAATCTGTATTTTGTGTATTCAGACACAAGATATTTTTTTCTAAACCGCATTTGCAGTGGACAGCTAGATAATGGGGTTCTCAGCTAGAAAAGACCTTAGTGTCATCTATGAGAGTCCAACCCCCTCATTTTAAATGATTGAGAAACTGAGTCCTAGAGCCAGGAAGTCATTTGCCCAAGGTCACATTAATAGCTGAGCAAGGATAAACTGTGTTCTTTTGTACACCACAGTTCCTATTAGTCAAAAACCAAAAGCCTGGTGTGAAGCAAGGTAGCATGAAACAATTTTTTTTTTACAGTATCTAAGTCATACCTAAATCAAGCTGCTTTAAAAACTATCTTTAAAAGTTTCTCGGGCCTTTGTCAGACACTGGGAGATCCTACTCAATGCTGAAGACTGTATTTTTTCTTGTTTACCTTTTCACCTCTTATCTTGGAGTTTTTGTTTTGGGTTTGTTTAATTACAGTTTGATGCTAGTGATCAGTATGGACCCCATGATGAAATGTGTATTTGTTGTTCAAGGACCAATCTAGCTTAATTTGAAGAGGATATCACCAGATTGGCTGTTAGGATGATTCACTTTTCTGCCACAGCAACCCTCAAATGTCTTCAAGTCACAGTTGGAGTCCATCAATGAAACTACCAACCAGTGAGGAAGTATTGGTGTGACACAATTTAAAGATAGACACTATGCATAAAGAAATAAAATAAGTCAAGAAGAAACTTTTGGTTCAAGGATTTCCATGGAAACACCAACTATGGAAACACCAACTATGGTTTCCTAATTATTTTCCTTCTCTGGTCTACTAAAATGAATACTATTAATATATATTTATAGAATGCTTTAAAGTTTGCAAAGGGCCTTTTCTCATACCTTTACAGGTACCCATAGTAGTATGTCATTTTATGAATAAGGAAACCAGAGATTAGGTGACTTGCCCCATTATCACACAAGTGTGAAGTTATTTGATGCAGGGATCTTTCCAGTATCAGAGAAAGCCAACTTTCCTTTCGTCTTAGAGCAACTCAAGGCTATAATTAATTTAATTGTCCACTTCTGTTTCCATGTAGCGTTTTGACCTCATCAGTGAGAAGGGTGGATTTTTTTCAAGACTGTATGACTTGAAGGTTTATTTACCAAAGTCAGGGTCTACTGGATGTCCTCCTGCTGAGTAAAAGGATAAATAAGCCAGTGGCTGATGTCAAATTTCCCAGCAGTCCATCTCAGAATTCTTTTTGTCAAACAACTTTATAATACTATCTTCACAAAGGGCATCTCTACCCACAGGATGCTGAGAGGTCTCTGAACCCAACTCCTGGCACTAAGAAATACAGCCTATGGCACCTAGGGTTGGCATCATCTCTTTCTGCAATTCAAGTTTAAGATCCTTACATTCAAAGAAAGGTTCTCAAGAGGAGCCATTGCCTGTTTATCCAGAAGCCAGACTGTCTAGGAAGGGAACCAGATCTTGCTGTCCGGGCCTCACCTATTAAAGGGGGGTGGGGGTGGGGAGTAGAGTGTGAGGGAGGAGGAAAGCGAGAACAATGGGCGAGCAACACTGACCACTTGGATAGCTGTTCTGCCTCGCCATATGAGGCTGACTTCTGGCTCTTCCAAGGCCCCCGTAGCCGTCCCAGCGTCGTCGAGGAGGAGAAAGGCTGCTGGGTCCGTGGGCTGGAGGGGCAGGGCAGTGCATTTTCCTTGTCTGAGTTGGGCTTAGTGGGCTGGCGGGGGGGAGCATGTGATCTCCGAGAGACCGAGTTTGCAGTGCCGTGGTGTGGCCGGAGCGAGAAGCGCCATGGAGGCTAGTGCGGCTCGCTGAGAGGCGGGTAGCGCTGCGCTTCGCTGCGGCTGGGCTCGGCTCGGCTCCGTTCCGCTCTCGGGGTGTCTGGCTTACCCAGGAAGGAAACCACCGGGTCGCCTTTCCACAGCGCGGAGGCGCGTAGAGAGAAGAGCTGAGCAGAGCCGGGGAGAAGGTAAGAGATCCTCGCGTGCCAGGGACCGATCTGAAACAATAGCGGACCCAGGCTGGGCTCCTCCCGCTCCAGACCTCCCCGACTGCAGCCCCTGCTACAAGCCTCTGACTGGTGACCTTGTCCGTGGGCATCCTTCTGCCCTGGCTGCAAGCCCGTTGCACTTCTCGGGGCTGTCTCGGTGGTTGGAGGAGGCTGCCTCGGGCTCTTTGCAAGGGTGTGTATGGTGGGAATAGGGGGTGGGGAAGGGGTGTGTGTAGAAGGGGGACCTTGCAGCGGTATCGATCCGCCCCGAGTGTTGGGGAGTCTGCTGCTGCCTCGGAGAGCATCAGTGCGCGAGAGAAGGAGAGCAGGGAAGCCGTGGGAGGACGGGGCGCGCGGGAGCCACCCGGGTATGAGCAGAAGAGCATAACTAGGGAAGAAGAGTAAGTCAGTCTTCTTTCCCCTGCGGGGTGAGGTGGCTGCGTGTTTTATGTGTGCGCGCGCGTTTATTCCTGTAGGAGAAAAAAGGAAATCTGCAGAAGGCTTTATTTCACAGAGATGCTACTTGGGCTGCAGACCAAGCACTTGATGTTAGAGTTGGTTTCCTTAATTAATTGTCTCTCTTCCTTTTGTGGCATTATTTTCCAGAAGTATTCTCCTGGGTTCATTTGTTTCGACGGGTGTGTGAGATGGGGGTGGGGTGGGGTTACTGTGGGGAGAATCTCACTCTCTGGGATCTCAATCTGACTTTGACTCCACACGAACCGTCACCCACCGGAGCTGCATTGCTTTGTTTAACCTATGCCTGACAAGCATTTGTCACAGAAGTCCCAGCTCCCAGCCCCCAACTAAATTGGGATGAGCTGTGAAATCTGCGGGCTGGGATGACAGACCGACGTTCTCCCTATTTGTCAAGCCTTGGAGCCTGGAAGCTCCACTTTGCTCAGTGACGAGATTCTTTCGGTGGCTTCCCGCACCCCATCTTTGCCGTGGTTTTCCTTTAGTAGTAAGAATCTCTTTCTTGTGGGGCTCTGAAGTGGTGAGATCTTAGCCTGTGTTACTGAATGGACGTAGATAATTGTAGATGGATTCAAAGACAGCCAGCTATATGTATACTATAGTTTCCACTCTTGGTTGTTGGTAAACAGATTGACATCCGCGTCAAATGAAAGCGTTTTAATTTGGTTTTTAGAAGTTCACAGACTACAGTCGTGATGATTATGTTTTGACTTCTGAATTTTAAAAGAGAAAATGTTTAAATCCCCAAAGAGCCGTTGATTCAAAATATTAAAGCAAACTTAGAAACCATCACCTTGTGTTCTAAAATTTTAATATGGTTAACAGTAATGGCCCTGAAACTGATCTACTAGGAGGTGTGTGGGGGATGGTAAGAACCGACAGGATAAAGCCATTTACAATAAAAGGCTTGTAGTAAATATTCTGTGGAGAATTTTCAATTCATTAACTTGTCAGTTAAATCAGTGTTAGTCTATGTTAAAACAACAACAACAACCAGCACGTAGGAATTGTTAAACAATAAATAAAACGACTGACAGTTGCTCTGTACAGTGTATTTATATGTGACTCAGGAATCTGAACCTGATATTCCAGTTTCATTGAGCTAATAAAAAAAATTCATAAACAAAACATCTTCACAAATACCTTTTACCCTCACTTTCTAGAGAAGACAATCCTCATATAGCGTCATTACTTCTAAAAAACTGTTTTTGAGAGAAATACCTTAAGATCAGAAGAAAGCATTGCTTTTAAATTTAAATCATCAAGTAGAGATGGGTGCATTATAGAGTGATTGCTTCAATTTAGGTATGTGTGAGGGAAAATATAAGGTACTAGGTACTTCTCTTTAATTCAGAATTTCTTATTTATAGCTCTCTATAATGGAGGAACTTTAAGAAGATGATGGGAAGTTTTTTTGGGTCCAGAGAATGTTTTGTTTGTACTTCATCATTCTTATATTAGGCAATATCTGAGGAGATTCTTTTAAAGCTTAATATAAATGTAGTTTTAAAAGTGAAAGGTAACTACAGAAGGATGTCTCTAAGCAGAATGTGAACATGTGGACATGTCTTTGCAACTCTGTTCTTGATATTTGCTCACAGAAAAAGTTGAGTATCTTTGTTAATAGATTTTTAAAACCATCATCAGCAGCCATTGGTATTCATTAAATAGGCCATGTCAAAGGCTAGCATTGTAGTTAATGGAACGGTTTTTAGAATCTGGAGATTACAGGAGAGCTTCAGTTCATAATTGTAGTTATGTAAAGATGTATGGGTTAAAGTTTGCTTTACTTAAATAAAAACATTTCACTGAGTCATTCATTTAACATCAAAATTTTCTTTCAAATATTCAATAATAGTTCCCATTGTAATTATCAGTTTGAATTCAAATACTAAATTAAGCTCTCACATTTAAAAGATGTTGCCTAGTTCTAATTTCCTTGTTCTATTAAAACTATCATAGTAGGAAAATTATTCATGTAGAATCTAATTATTTAACTTTTAATTTTTTTATTAATAAGTAACAGAATCTAATGTCTTTTTGTCAAGATAACATAAATGGTTGTTCTATATTCTTCTGTAGATGCTAGACTTCAGGATTTAAAGCTAAAGGGACCATAGAGTGACTTATTTAGCATAAACGAATAACAACAATAATAGCTAGCATTTATATAGCCCCACTTTACAAAGATCATGTCATTTTATCCTCACAACAATCCTGGGAGGTGGGTGCTTTTATTATCCCCATTTTGCAGATGAGAAAACTGGGACAGAGGACAGAGGTTAAGTGATTTTTCCCATGGTCACACATTTAGTAAGTGTCTGAATTAGTATTACAAATTTCCAAAGCAAGTACTTAACTTAGTACTTGAAAGCATCCATCACCTTTTATAGGAGTTATTCTACCATCTGACCAAGAATACTAGAATCAAAGGTCGGTTTTTTCATAATCTACCACTTTTTAAATTCAGTTTCATTTTACCAGCCACCTGATTTGAATGTTTGTTGTATATGTCTGTGTGTATTGTTGATAGTTCGTTTGTGTCCCACTCTTCCTGACCCATATGGGGTTTTCTTGGCAAAGATACTGGAGTGGTTTGCCATTTCCTGCTACAGTTTATTTACAGATGAACTGAGGCAAACAGGGTTAAGTGACTTGCATAGGGTCATAGCTAGTAAGTGTCTGAAGTCAAATTTGAACTCAGGTCTTCCGGACTCCAAGTCCAACACTCTACCCACCACCACCTAGCATAATACATACATGCATACATACATGCATACATACATACACATTCTTGTGATAATGATAGAAATTATCTCTGGACTTTCTACGCCATCAGGAGGGTATCCCTCTTTAAGAAAAAAATCTGCCCAATAAGTAAATATTTGCCTTTGATGAAGCACAAAATAAAGCTTAGAAAATATAAAACTACTCCTTAATGTTTTATTGATGTCTTAAAAGCAAAAGGCAGTATAAAGTATTTAGTTTGTCAGTTATTTATAGAAGACGCACAACTGTACAAGATTTGGCTTACATTTGTGATTATAGTTGTTTTTTTCCTGTTTCTGAAGTTTTTTTTCTCTTTTGTATGGAAATAAATAGAAAATTATTATTTCCCCCCAAAATTAATTTTATAGGTCAGAAAGAAATGGAAGAAATGTCAAGGGTAAAAATCTCCATATGTAGCGCCTGAAGTTAGGTGACATTAAAAGGCAAGATTGAAACAACATTCCCTACTTTCTTCATACTTGAGACATTTGGATTCAGCCTTATATTTACATTATGCCTGTCAAAAAATACAGTTTGTAAGAATGCTTTTGGACAGGCTTAGAGATATCTTTGTAGGAAATGGTTTATTGGTCTACCTGTAGGAACTTCTAAACTTTTAGCCAAGACTTAAGCAATTTATTTATTTGTTGAGCTAAATATTAAGCTGATACCTTAAAACTCAGGATTTATCATCACAGATGCCTCAAGGAAGCCTTTTATTTCCATTCTTGCTAGGAAGTTATCATAGGTAACATGCTACAACCTACTTAAGCCCACTATCATCTTTTCATTGCTCTTTGAATTGTCTGCAATTTTAATTCTTTTGTGATCATTGTGTCCATGATTTATAGCCATATGGGATCACCTGTGGGCATTACAAAGATGGGCTTTGGCTAGAAACAAATAAAAATAATAGTTAATATTTAGGTAGTAATCAGTATGTGCCAGGTACTGTGCTAAGTGCTTTACAGTTATTACTTCTTTTGATCCTAACAGCAGCCCTGTGAGGTAGGTACTATTGTTATCCCCATTTTACAGATAAGGAAACTGAGGCAAACAGAGGCTAAGTGATTTGCCCAAAGTCACACAGCTGGAATCTGAGATTGGATTTAAACTGAGGTCTTCCTGACTCCGGGCTTGATGCTGTATCCACTGCACCACCTAGATGCCCTGTAGATAGATAGATAGATAGATAGATAGATAGATAGATAGATAGATAGATTGATTGATTGGACTTATTAAAAGTACTGGTTAATGTCCCAAATGCAGTCCAGCCTGATTTCGGCTATTTAGTTCTGTACCCAATTCATAATCGCTCTGCATTGCTTGTCCACAATATACCATTTGAGGGACTAGTTCAACAAGCTGTCTAGTTGTATCTCATACTTTGGGTGTTGTGTTTTTTTTCTTTATGCCCACACATTCCCTCCTTCCTCACCCCACCCCCAATCCTGTGATGGTTTGGCCAGTTTCTTTCATGTTGATGTGAAATCTGTAAAGAAGACTTTTGTTCCAGAGCTCAATTATCACTTTACTTAGAAGAGAAGGAAACAAGCATTTATTTAGCATCTACTATGTGCCAGGCACTGTGCTAAATGTAATAACAATAATAATAGCTAACATTTATATAGTGATTACTATGTTCCAGACACTATGCTAAGTACTTTACAGTATTGTCACATTTGATTCTCATAAGAACACTGGGGGGTTATTATTATTCTCATTTTACAGAT